CGGTACTGGTTTCAACAAACAGCTCGTTTCAGACCCCCCCTCAACCCTACTGTATGTCTACTGTTCTTGGTTTTAACTGCAATTCCATGTACTAGTTTCCCCTTGGCGTCACGAGTTCTGTTTCACTGCTGAGTATGAAGTCCAGCTGGTTGACTTTGTCAGTGTCTCTGAGGATTGTGAATACTCGCTCCTTGAAAACGCAGGACTTCGGATCATAACCCCCTAGAGCTCTGTTTTCAAGATAAGCAGACCAAGTTATTTTAGCCTGTCATTGTAGGAAATTCCTTTCAGTCCCAGTTTGTAATGAGTATCATAACATGTCAAAACAGAACAGAACAGAACACCACATCACATCACATCACATCACTATATTAGCCCTATACAATTTCTTGCATTAGGAATTTGTCTTTTCGCATATCCCAGCTTGCTCTCCAATATCTCAGGTTCAGAACTTCCCTTATTCTGATGTGTCAGCTGATATCTAATTACTCCGTAGGAAAAAAATGCCTTTTTTTGTAAGTGCGTGATACATTGCCTTGACCTTCTGTATGTTCATCATAAAATTAACACCTGTTAAGAGCTAATGAGAGAGAAATGAGTGAGAAACTCCTAATAAACAAATTGAGGAGAGATCTAATCTATATGACTGAAGTTATTTGAACAATATGCTTGATGTTGGTATCTCTGCCTTGCATGAACTCTAGTGAATTCTGTATCCAGGTACAGGGAAGGACACTGATTTAATCTCTTGTTTGCATTCTGGAGTCACTGTTTCACACTTTCATGTTAATGATGTCACGCCCTCTGCAGCCAGAGGGCGCTCCTACTCTGTTCTGTCCCTTGTTTCCTGTGCTTTGCTCTCTCTCCGGTGTCGCGCTCTCTGGGGCTATATATTTCCAGGTCACGGATTCACCTTCGTTCAGCATTGACGTTCGGTTGTTCTGAGACCTGCCTAGTATCCAGGTCACCCCACGTCCGCTGCCTGAGGGCATAGGTTTCTATACGACTCCTGAATTGATGAGCCGGGCTAATCCCGCTACGCATATGGGTCTTTTTCCGCTCTCCTGCCTCACCCCGGTTCATCCCTTCCGACATCCGTGACAAATGGTGTATTACATAATTGGCTTTAACATATTAAATACTTAGATATGAACTTTAGAGTCGCTTATTTTGCTACACTTTCATTATTTAATAGAACCAACTGTAATCCTGTGCGGAATCTGTAGCACTGGCAGACCAGGGCCTGATGGGGGCAGTATTGCACTGCTCAAAGAGGAAATATCAGCACTAACAGTGCTGAGATTACGTGATTGATAACTACTGTACACTACAAAGTAAAGGATCGCAGCATAATAATTATAAACAACACACATAGCCCAAGAACAAGCCCATTAAAAAGGCTCAGATCTCTAGTATTGAATTTCATAAGTCTCAGGTCAAGCCAAAACATCCTTAACTGAACTTTCAGTCTCAGAGCCACCAAGTTTAACTGTTGTTGATGCAGATTAACATTTGGAGTTGAGAGTGGGCCTTAAATGAAATAACACCCGTCATAAGTTTAAATTTTAAGTTTAAATTTAAGTTTAAATGACATGCATCTCTAAATGTACAATTAAATACATCCATATCTCAAGAACATTTTAACTGTGAACAATGGCAACTGGTTTATTAATACACAGTCCAGTTTCTGAGGAGGTTGTGACTCTGGAGCTGGCTTCTCAAATTCAGTTCCTGTGTTGTTTCTCTTTTTTTAGTTACACAGTTGTCAATTATTAAAAGAGCTGCTTAATCAGGGTCTTAGGTAATGTATAGGTCACTGTACAGTTCATGAAGTAAATGTCTTGTGTAATCCACTTTAGAAGACTTTCACCATTCTGTTGGTTTTGCCGGTGAGATTTTTTACTAAAAGACATTTATCATATAAATATGTTAACAGCCACTCAAACGTCTTTGAAAATGCAGGCAACATTATAACATCATACCCAATTTCAAGAAATGAATGTCCTCCCAAGGCAGCTTATGCAAACCTATTGACCACATGAGTTACAGGTGTGCTGCTATAAATTACTGAGACAAAACAAAGTGTTATGTTCATAAATAATGCAGATTTATTTATATATATACTGAATATGATATAAATTATTTAGAGGTAGAACATCCTCAGAAAAACAGTCAGGACACTCAGCCCATCTTGCTCAAAACTTGAAGACATCTATCACTTTAGAAAGGAAGTAGAGCTTCTGCAGGTGATTGACAACAAGAAAGAGCAGTGTATATTATTTTGTATTTGTGTTAGAGATTTGCCTGTGGTACATGTAGCTAAGTTTTGTTTGATTAGAGGGTGTGCATGCTTAGAGGCAATGTCCCACTGCAATCAGCCAAGGTAAATTGAGAATGATGTTGCTTGTTTAAAGTCGTGGGAATTAGCCTAGAATAAGATGAATGTGTGAATGTTAAACACAGGCCACGTTAGAACATGACTTTCAGGTACTATAAAACAAAGAAAAGCTCCTTTGGGCAGATGGGAGAGCATTGCTAGTGCATGTCTGAAGAACAGGAGAGGGAGGTTGGTCTGAGGGTGAGGTTCTGATCTCTCTTCTTAGCACTGTTACAGATAGAGACATGTTTGTCACCTTCAGCCCTGCTTTTGTCCTCATTTTAATACCATTCCGTAAAATTATTGTACATGATGATTTTTAAACTTAATGTAGTTCCCATGGTACAATCTATGTCTGAAGAGTGAGATCAGATCTAGTTTAACATCCCGTTACAGACTAAATTAAGCGCACCACAAGGAAAAGCTATTCTCCGCATCTAAAATCGTATTATATTTATATATTTTAGGATTTTGCAAACCTACTTTAAAAAAGAGTTGTGCTTTTATCAATCCCACCTTCTATTTGTACTTAAGAGCTTAGATCAAAGAGACCTCTTGCTTGGACATGAAGACTCTGCCTCTGTCTCTCTATGCCCTTGGATACAGAAGTTGGGATTTATTTATATTTTATATTTAATATTTATTACAATTATTAACTTTTACTATACCTTCAAGTTCTGTTATTTTAGTTTTTTTGTACAGCTTGTTTTCTGAGTCTATTGTGTAGCCTTATTGTTTTATATTCATACAATAATATATACTGTAGATTTGTCATTAGAATGTTGCTTTTTTGCAGGTATAACAAACTTAATTAGCAATTTGTTATTAAAGCTTTGCATTATTTACTGTGCATTGAAAGAGAGAGCATGCACATACAGTAGCTAATTGAAAAGTTGTCTTTAGTGAATGGAGCAGATGGTAAAATTACTATTACCAAATCAAATGGAACAGGATTTCAGTTTTGGAAAAAATGATTAAAGCCATTCATTATTATCTGCAAAACTTTTTATCTTTGGTTTGTTGACTCTTGATAGTGCTAAGATGGAGTATTTGAATTTGAAAAGTCACGGAGGTACAGTATTATTGCATTGTTGACTGCACTATTTGAGTAAAATGTGATGTGTTTGCACCTAGGGCAATCATATGGGAGAATAATGAAGTTTCAAGGTGTGGTTATTTGAGGCTTAAATGCCTTAAAACAAACAGTTTATGCAGGGTTTAAAATTATTCAAAACCAGTTTAAAAACAAATGTGTCTTTCAAACAGCAGCATTATCACCTCATTGATGGTATTATTTGCAAAAACCTTGGGCAATTCTGTGTGAGAAATGTGGGGTTTCAAGGCAGGGTTATTTGAAGTTCAAAGGTGATAAAATATAATCAAATAAGACCCTTTCAAGGCCTCTGAGGAAGAATGTATTGTGAAACACAATTGGAAACTAAATGGGAATTTGAATTTTATGTATTTTAGGATGGATGTAAACACTTCTTTTAACAAAGAGATGTGGGTTTCTGGAACAGATTACATACTGTAGCATGGTGGTTGACATCTCTTGGGGCTAATGTAATGGCTGGACACTATCAACTCACACCTTTCAGTCCATTGAAATCCTACTGATATGCTTTGCTTTTACCAGGCAAGATGGTTTTGAAGTATTATTTAAATGCGAACAAATTCACAATCTGTTATTTTCTTGACTTTTCAGACTATTTTTCCAAACTTAAAGGAGGCAAAACACTGTTCTTCCACAGCAGAGTTACAAGAGCAATAAAATCTTTAAAGTGTATTATTATATTATTATTAATAATAATAACAATACATGATTATTCCTTACTTTTATATAGCACTTTTCTGGACACTCCACTCAAAGCGCTTTACAGGTAATGGGGACTCCCCTCCACCAGCACCAATGTGTAGCCCCACCTGGATTAAGTAGTGGTAGTGCAGCAGTAAACAAAATCAAAAACAGGCTTAACTCAACTAATTACAGTGCGTTATAACCCAACATTAAGTCCGAAGCTCTCTGCATTTCTGTTCTGGTACCAGATCTCATCAGATGAGAAAGCCGGTTGTAACTGTTAAAACTTTATTAAACTTAAAAACAAAATGGAGAGGAAACTGAAAACAAAATCGAAGATATTTGCTTATTTGTTTATTTTATTCTCCCAGGACACTGCAACGTTCACAATCAATGTATTAAAAATATACTGCAGCTGATGGTAAACTGTGCTGCAGCGTGATGACTGGTGCCGAAGTGGAGCGCTGCTTAAGATGAAAAGGAAACGGCGAAGATAATCGGGATCAGGAGATTCGAGAGGGAACGATATAGACTGGATACTGGACAGTTCGTTATGAAAGTGTCTTTAAAAAAATAAGGACACTGGCGACCCAACGGAGAAAGAAAGGTTAAAAAGGGAGAGAAAAAACGGAAAAAGTGAAAAGGGAAAAAAGTGAACTAGTGTTTCGCAGCGCAGGAAGGAAGCAGAGGAGCGCAAGAAAAAAAGTTGTTTGGGGAGATGCGAGGCTCTAATGGCGCTAAGGACGCTCCCATGGAGATTGAGGCAATAATGACGGAACAACGATACAGCCGTTCGAAAAAACAACTTTTCAAAAAACAACAACAGGGTTTTTTTAATTAATGAGATTGAGAACTAGATCGGGAGCCTGGTTGAAAAAGGAGTTGGCTTACACAACGAAATAGGTATTACATCGAATTACAAATATATATCTAAAACAAAACTCATTATTTTTACTTGAAAATTACAATGTAAAGCAGTGAATCATAAGAGAAACAAAAGTGACAACCGAAGACATTTCAGGAATTCTCCGGAGTGTCACTTTGGTCAATTGTTAATGGGTGTAACTGGACCAGCGACCCGCCCCTTTTTTTCTCTATATATCCCCCCTTTCTGATAGCTGCTGAATCGTGTTGTGAACAAGTCAAGTCATCATAGAACACACCCCAGTCTCGTGTGAGTATCCTTTTAATTGTATTTATAAAAATAACAGACATGAGGACAAAGACGAATACGATTTTAGATGCGGAGAATAGCTTTTCCTTGTGGTGCGCTTAATTTAGTCTGTAACGGGATGTTAAACTAGATCTGATCTCACTCTTCAGACATAGATTGTACCATGGGAACTACATTAAGTTTAAAAATGCCCAAATGTACTTATTGTCTAATCTTGCAGCTGTGATTGAGGTATCCTGTTGACAGTTTCTATACAAAACTACAAATGCTGCATTTCACTATTGTCTTTTTAAAATAAGACTAAAATTGCTATACAATTTGTAATTGTTTAATTGTGACTACAGTATGTTTCCTAGAAGCTTTACTGTATCATTTATCTCCTTCCATAGGTTCCATTGTGAATATGGAACATGCCTATAATGTTCAGCTGCAGTGATTCATGTTGATTGAAGCATTACATGACTAGAAAAACATAAATGTGTATTGTAGGAGGGCTGGAAGGTCAGGCAAAATGGTGGATTTCATCTGATTTACATTCCTCAGAAGGCTGTGGGGAATGATCCACCACCTGTTGTTACTTGGACATGGATAATAGAATTGCCCAGATGGTGGGTAGAACTGAATTAGAAGAATAAGTAGGACACCTTGAATTCAGAAAAGAGGTTTTGTTTAACTTGCTAGAATACTTTAAACAAGCAAAAAGGATGGGACACAAAATGATAGCATGAAATATTATACATCTAGTTTTCCAGAACGCTTTGCTCATGGTCCTTTATAAAAGGTTGAATCTAAGGGTTGTAATGTGGCACCTTAAGAAGCACAGCTTCAGGTTGGGCAGATGTAAATGGTTGTGGTGAAGGATCCATTTCTGCCTGTTGCTTCTCCTGATCTTTATTAACAATTGGTGGTTGAGGCTGAAACGGTGGGGTCTTTTAAAAAATGTCTGGCTGAAATTTTATTTTTGCTTAGCTCCTAACCTGCTAGACAAGCTAAATGGGGGGCGATTCACCTCCTCTTCTTTGTTCCTATAACTCTTATAAAAGTAATTTTTTTTCAAAAAAGTGTCCTTCTACCAAAGGAGTTGCAGATAAAGGTATAGATTTTCTAGATGCAGGAGGATAGTTTTTCCATAGAAATGTATTGCTTTCTGTGCTCCTTTGAATCTGATAACATGCTTTTATGTTTGAGTTGGAGGAAAATTTTAAGATTTGGGTAAGGACTATTGGCTTATAGTTCTGAAAATATTCATTTAGCTTTTTTGGGGGGGGTATCTGCAAAGCAAGTCTGTTTCTAAAGGTTATTGTGCAGTTTCAGTGCATCAGGTTAAACAATGAAAGATTACATTTCTAAAACCAAAAGGATTGACTTGTATTAAGTTTAGCAAAACATGTATTCACAAATTTTATAGTCGGAGTTTGGCTTATTTGACTTGGGTATGACAATGATTTATGCAATACCCTAAAACCTGAGGATACATCTCTGTTCCTGAAGGATTCTTGTCAAAGAAGCTGATTCTCATGTCCAGAACACCCCAGGCATTCATTCAGCATGTCTAACTATTCCATGTGGGAGATATTCCCACTTCTATTGTACATAGATTTAAAGTAAGTTCCGCAAGAAACTAGCATACTGTCCCACAAAGTAGTCGAGAACAATTCATCACAATTTCAGAGGCATAGTATGTGTAGCCATTGGTCATGATGTTTGTCCTAACCAGGACACCTGTTCCATATTGTAAGAAGCCGGGGGATGTGAATGATGTGTGTAATATATATGCCGTTCCTAAAACCAGCAAATTGTATATTAACAATTATTAAACCATATAGTATGCTCTCTGTTTATCAGGGAATACTGAGCAGAACAGTAACAGGCATTCTTCTCTAGCACAGAGAAGTAATGGAGTAAGAAGTAAACTATTGGAAATATTTGTTAGAGAACTTGAAAAATATACAGCATCCACTCCTATTATATGCAGATATTTACAAGATCTGTTAACACTTGTTTTAAATCAAGCCCTATACAGATGTTAAACAAAGGGAAACCTCTTTGACTATATTAAAATGGCACATTGTTAAACCAGCAAGAAATATCTGTAGCTTGGTGGTTACTGCAAAAATCAAACTGTTTACAGTTCTGAAGTTTCCTAAATCCTAAAGTGAGTCTCTTCAGTGCTCATGTTATCTGGATGTGTTCTGTAATGTGGTATGACAAAGAAGGAGCCAGCTTATGGTTCTTCTGTAGCCTTTTTCTAGTTCTCTCCTTTTACCATTTACTGTGGCCTTTTGTACTGTATTAGGGACACCTTGTTTCCTGAACCACCCCATGAAGGCAGACTTAAAGGTTTTGGTTCTATTGAAATAGGAGTACAATCTTCTTACCTTAAAGATAAGAGGCTCTCTGAGTTGAAGTTAACCATTTTTATGCTGCTGTCACGCGTGCCACTATCTAGCTTTTCACTCCCTTATTTGTCTATTTCTGGACACAGTCTTATTCCAATTAGTAACCTGAATTTTTATTCAGTTCTTGTTTGTTCCTTAATATTTAGCTCAAACATGTGTTGTTGAATTGCAGCATATTTGATCAAAAGCTCAATTTAAGGAAACCTAATGCACCTTGATTTACTAATGTGATCTGTTAGATTTCCCGTACTCTATTGCCATGTAATATGATAACGAATTAATCCGAGCAACATGTAGGAGAGAAAATCCTGTGAGTATATTCAATGAGCTAGCTTTTTTTTTTGTTTTAATCATGTGTCATTTTATTGCAGTGCAGAAGAAAATGGACAGAATAGTTCCAAAGAAGAAGGCCCAAGGGGTTGACATCTGTGGGGATTCAAAATTAGTTTACATTGTCCGTTCTGATCTTGGCTGTTATATGAAATGCCCAGATTTTATTCATGGAAAAGACTTATCTGTGCACAGTCTGAGTTTGCCCTGCAAAGGTGGGGATCACTATTTGGCTGACAAGGATCACTTCTATGTCATTAAAAAGAATGAATTCCTGCCTGTCACCAACATGACCACAGATACCCTCCGTAAAGCAGTCCCCCTGCATCCCAATTGTCAGGGAGGTGATCACTACCTCTCTCACTCTGGATACTTCTTCATCATTTTCCTAGATAAAGGCATTTACCGCCGCACGACCAATTTAAACTCGGATGCCGATGGCCATGAATACCCTCTTGATCCAGGCTGCAAAGCTGGTCTGTATTTCTGGGCTACAGGCAACTTAATCCATTTTTTGAGAGATGACAGCAAGTGGGGGGTCCAGGTTGATTTTGTCAATGAACTTAATGAATTCATTCCTGGCCTTGAAATATCAGTCCACCCAGATGTAATCAACTTCCTCCCAGGTGGGCTGGCTGTGACTCAGGGTTCAGCCTTTGGGAAGTGGGAAAACATTAAATCCATAGACAATCCTTCTTCGTCGGTCCTGAACTGGGAGAAGAAGATTACCAAGAAGGTGGGGTTTACTAGGGAGAAGATGTCAAGCATCGAGCACAACTGGAAAATCTCAATGACCGCTACCTATCAGTCGGGAGATCTGACTGCGGCATTTGCTAAGTATCAGTTTTCGCTCGGTGCCGAGTACGGGGGAGTGAAGGTCGACACGGATAAAGAACAGTGGAGTGAAGCTACTGATGTTGAAGAAACAATGAAGATCGAAATCAAGCCTGGTCAAAGCATATATATTTGGCAATATAACCTGGGCCTTGGCAAGGAATCTGTATTGTTCTGTCGTGACCTCTTAATTGACGACGTCCCCACACCCCCTACTAAAATCCCTCTTCCAGCTGCCCCACAGTAAATAATGACCTCGACACCTCTGCTGAAGCTTCTTTCGTCCTTCTTCATAGTGACTGATGAACTCAAGACATCTATTGAACCATTTTCCAGCATTCTACACTCCAACAAATGAAAACCACACATCTATCTGAAATACGAGACACAATGGTTTTTTTTCTGCTCTTGAATTTATTGAAATGAAGTCACAATTCAGCTTGAGAATAACATTTCAAAACATTCTGAAGAAAGGAAACATTTACTGATTCTGTCTAACAATTCTGCTGTTATTTTTCATGTAAAATGAAATGGTAGTAATGGATTGATTCATAAATTGTAATGCATACCTAATCAAGACTCTTGATGTGTTTTTTTTCTTGTATATTATGGTCTTTGAATTGTAACCTAATAAAGGGAAAAGGTGAAGATCTCTCTCGACTATTTTTGTCAGAAATCCATTTTGACTTATCTCCATAACTGAGCATGAACTACAAGGCAAGCAAGATGATTCTATGCGGGTGAATCCATGTAGACAAGTAGATTCAGGTGCACATACTGATGGGCTTTTATAATTCTCAGCAGAAGAGCAGAGCCATGGTTTTAACAGCACCTACCAGTCATATAACTGGCTGACGAGTTAGAAAAATGAGCTCACTTCCACTGATATGCATGTGGAACATCATGTCCTTTTACAGGGGGAAAAACTTACCCCTTAATTCAAAAAATGAAAGCATTAAGGGAAATTTGTCTTAGGAGACCAAATGTAAGTCGAAGGATCTCTTCCAGCCATTTTATTGAAAGAGTTTCAACAACATTACTTGATGTGGTAGTTGAATCCACATTCCCAAAAGCCTTTGTGTAAAGAAGCGCTTCCTATTCTCGGCTATAAAAATGAACTGCCACTTATTTTCTTCATGTACTGTAGTTCTCGATCGAGTTCCTCAAAAGTTTAATTTGAAGATTGTGAATTGTAGGCTTTCAGTTTACAATTTCATGAAAACCAGGTGCTGAATGTTTCTCCATCTATAGAGGTAGGTTTCTGAAACTGAACTCTGTAGTGTGTGGGGTAACTAATTTACTATTAATACATCTTTAAGATTGGGACAGTTTACTACTACATCAAGCTGTTCTTGTAAATTAAAAATAGTATTACACTAACTTTTATGCATCTGGGAAAGTTGCGCAAGACTGTCAGCCGAGGCGCTTTCCATATTTTAGGAAAATGATACAGCGAAATGAGAACTGCGCTAAGGTAAAGTATTTCAATAAAGTCACAGCTATGGTGTCTAAGCATGGAGTTCGTCGGTTATAATTAGTCTGAATATCAAAAAGAAAATGTTGGACAAACAGCTCGTGAGTAAATATAAAGAATGAACAAGTAGTATAAATATATTTGTACACATGTCAGAAGCTATTAATGTTATTTAATACTAACGTTAAACATTATTAGCGCTTGGTATAACGTTTTTTGTTTTCATTGAAAGGTGGCATTTTACTATTTTGCCCTCTGGTGGCGAAATAGCCCAGATACTGTATAACCATATTTCCATCAGGATCACTGAGTAATCGCCTTACGTACTACATTACCAGTACCTCTGCTCTGCCGTTAAAGCCCCTTAGTAAAATGCTTGAAGATACAATTAAATCTTTGTATCATACTATCTTCCAAGAGGGATTCGAGTAGAAAATACAGTTATATTACCCCATCATTACCTCTCGCTGTCACGGCAGTGGCGAAATTTCTTGAAGATGCCACAGATCGCGTCGGCGTCCATACGTGATGACGTCCAGTATTCTGCGACAAGAGGAAGCTGTAGTAGACGTCATTTTGCTCGCCGAAGATGGTGTGCTTTTCTTTGTGTTACTGATGGCTGGAGTTTCTCTTATGCTCTTGATTACTTTGTATTTTTTTTTTATTAATACACAGCGTCCCCTCAAGACAACACTGTACGAAATCTTGGGAACCATGTGTTTTCACGTTCATATCCAATGTTGCCCTGCGAAGTAGAAAATCCGCAAAAGATGTTCCAAATGCAGCACGTCCTATCCAATTTCAAGTCGAACCCGTGTACTGTAGACTGAGTTTATTGTAAAATTGTTTCGGAAACTTTTAAGCTTTTCAAGACTGCATATCTCATATGGAGATAGAAACCGGGGACCTGAAGCTGAGACTTGACGTATGGAAGAGAGTGTCCGGGGCGTATCCCAGCATCAGGGGCTACAGTGGATTCCAGGTCTGTCCTGGGACTACAGGAGTAAAACTGAGGCCAAAAGAGGCTGGTGAGTCAGGACAGTCCGAGTTAAAAATCTTATCTACCGCTCGATTTCATCTACTTAACAAAACACCACAGGCTATTTTTAGGGGGCGAGTTTTGCTACAAATGTTTGCTAGTGTGTTGTAAATAAAGAATAATTTACATTTATGTAAATAGCACTCTTCAGTCATTATTATTGTTTTAAGGCTTGCCGTGCTTATATGATCTGCTTGAATTATATTAAAAGCTGACGGCAATAAGAATTAAAAACGAATTTTTGCGTGCTTTTGTGTACGACGCATCTTAAGGGAGATGACATTTTTTTAAGATCTAGGGTCTCTAGCATACTTGGGATAAAAAATTAACGCTTTTCGCGAACTTTCTTTTGTTAAGCGTCAAAAGACCTAATTTTATCTTCCAAGCTTATCTTCCGTGAGACAAAATGCTCATAAATCTTATTTGCTCTACCTGTGCACTATACCACAAAATAAATGCTAGTTTTAAGGGTTTGTTTGTATTCACCAGCAATATTAAGAGTTCTTGGAGTCTGAAGCAAGCTTCCCAACCATGTTGTTGGGAGCTAATACCCTGGTTTCTATCAAGGAATGTTTAACTACCAGACAAACAATATGGGCTGAATTCTAAGCATTCTTATAATGGACATGGTCTGGCATAAGAGTTAGTTACAACTGAGAGTTGCTCTACTGGACTTTCTGCTCTATCCCAGCTTTAAAAGGCTTGGAGATGTGGTTAACGTATTCTGTTCACACTACATTGACTTTTACACACCACTACCCCTCCATCTGCTCCAGCTCATTCAAAATCCTGCAGCTCACCCTCTCTTTCTCTGCATTTCTTCCTCTCAGCTTTGCACTTGATACCCCGTTATTGCAGACTTACTTGCTCCTTTAATTGGCACCCAAACAGGCTATGTGCCCAAATGGCCTCTGGTTTATGACCTCTCTGTGCTTAAGTCCTTCTTTTCAACTACCACTCTTTCAACATTTCTGCTCAAGCCTGTCTTAGTCATCTATTTTGGTCTATAATCCTACCAACCATCTTTTCCACCTGTGTACTTGATTAAACTTGCAGTTATGGGGCAGAGTGGTGGCTCTGTGGCTAAGGATTTGTGGCTGTTGCTGGTTCAAATCCTGTTGCCGGCAGAGGAATCCTACTCCGTTGGGCCCCTGAGCAAGGCCCTTAACCCCAGCTGCTCCAGGGGCGCTGTATAAATGGCTGACCCTGCGCTCTGACCCCAAGCTTCTCTCTCCCCGTCTGTGTGCCTGTGTGTCTCATGGAGAGCAAGCTGGGGTATGCGAAAAGACAAATTCCTAATGCAAGAAATTGTATATGGCTAATAAAGTGATCTTATCTTATTTTATTCTGGTGCTTATTCCCTTTTTTTGTGCTACACATGTTGTCCATTTTAGTAATATTGTATTGCTTATATATATTTGCTTTTATTGTAATAAAAAAAAACAGAAGAAATGCGAGGAGGTCATTTGGTTCAACTAGCAAATTAACATCTAGTTAAGATACTAGTAACTAATTGATCTGAGAATCTCACCTGCCCCTTTTTGGAAGGAGCTAAGGTTTTGGCTTCAACAACATGGCAGGATAGCCTGTTCCATACTCCAACAACCCTTTGTGTGAAGAAGTACCTCCTGTTCTTTGTTTTAAATGCACCTCTGTGTACTTTCCACTTGTCTCTGATTTGTGCTTCACTGTTTGTTCTGATTAAGTGCACTGGGTTGACTTTTTGCAGTCCCTTAAGGAATTTTGAATACCTGTGTTACCAAGTAGTCTTCTCTCTTCAAGAATAACGCTTTGATTGATCCTTGCGGAATCATGATAAGAAAACAACATAACGCAAGATGAACTAAATCAAATCCATATTATTGTTTGAATTAGGTCTCCCAATCACACCAATGACCTGTGCATGCTTAATAAATGATTGATAATTGAGTGGTAAAGTACACAGTCATCACAAGGCTAAATTTATGTATTTGGGGAGGTAAATGTTTTGCCGCTGATAAAATATTTGACTGTTCAGCACTAAAGCCTTTTCAGCAGCTGCGATTCATTCCCAAATATAGCTTAATAGTAAAGAAAGCTTAGTTAAAGAAATAGTTAGATTAAATTGAAAAAGTCAACAATTAACTAAAAGGTGGTGATGAGAATTATTATTGACTGGTCTCTCTCTAATTAGCCTGGTATTTTTATTATTGATTTGCACTTTGGTTTTACAACTGTTTTATGTTTGAATTACTCTTGTTTTATTTACTTTTTTGTCCGGTTCCCAGCGTTGATTATCCTAATAATTTGGAGAATTAGGGTCGGTTTGGCTTTTCTAAATTTCCCATTACTTAGAGGAGAATGTTAATGGTGCATTCATCATTTTGAATTTTGTTTCAGGTAGAATCAGTACTAATTATGGGACCACAAGGAAAGATGCCACCTCTGATTTTTTTATGGTGATTCTTCTCTGGTTTGTAGCCTTTCATGTCCTCTGGTTAGTACACGAAAGTGTTCGGTGAAGAACAGAAAATGTTAGTTTCTAAATTTCATTAGGAAATTGAACTAAATGTTCAGTTTAACATGGAAATATGGATAATTATATCAAACACACTTTCAATTGAGTCCTAAGGTTCTTACATTTAGTCAAAATGGTAGTTGTAGTTTCCTTGAATTTTGTCACACTTAACATATTACTCATACATATATATATAATTCTCACTTTGTGTAAAAAGTGTAAAGTTTTGCATATTGTTACACAACCCACCACCCCTTACCATTGTGCCCAAGGTTTCATTGTAACTGTTTCAGTAATTACAGAATAATAACGATACACAAATGTACCACTACCACTACGCTACCACTTCAAGTCCTTCATTAGAAGAAATAACCCAGTGCCTTGACACCCACCTGCCTTTGCACCACACCAGCAGAACCAGTAATATCAATGTACTAATTTTTAAAATGCAGACTTTACAAAGCTGTGGAGTTGATGTACTCTGCCATTGTGATAAGCACCCGTGTCTCAAAGCTTCTTTTATTCAGAAATGTAAAAAAAAAAACAGGAATTTTGCTGGACAGTAATTTTCGTAATGAATATGGTAGATAGAAATGTTAAATTTTCATACAGGCTCTCAAGACAGCCCTTTTTAATTATGCCTGGGAGAGGCAGCTTTAATTAATGTAAACAAATATTCTTTCAAGTCTGATTTACTAAACCCAGCAATAATCTAAGTATTGATTAGGATTGTATATTAAAGACATTATTTTTTTTTTTCATTAAACTGGTGCATTGGTTAGCATTACTGCCCCACAGCTCTGGGGCCCTGGGTGCTATCTGTGTGGAATTTGTGTGTACTCCCCATGCTTGTGTGGGCTTCACAATCCAGAAACATACTGGAAGGCTAATTGACTTCTGGGAAAATTGGCCCCGGTGTGTGTGTCTGTTTGTATCTGTGTGAATGTGTGTGCGCTGTGATGGACTGGGGTCCCGTCCAGGGTGTGTCCTGCCTTTCATCTGTTGCATGCTGAGATAGACTTCGGCTGCCCCACAAACCTCAACTGGATAAGTTTTCACAAGGTAAACCAAAGGGCCCTATGTATTGTATACTCTATATATTGTGTGTATTGCTTTTACAGTTGCCTGTTTGCTTGCAGTCAATATTTACTCTTAACTGTTTCTCGTAACCCAGTTTCTGTGATCGGTATTTCAGTTGTAGACATGCCAATTTGCAATGCAACAGTTTTGTTTTTGTTATTTCTACTATAACTGAAGATGCCGCAATTAACTTACTATAAAATTAATAATCTTGACATTTTTTGTCTTTTTTTTCAGGAACTGCAGAGGCCAGTGCTGTCACTGATGCCAGTGAAGAGACTTCTTTTGAACACGGACACTGTAAGAATACAGAGCTCACTGGTGCAGAAGTTAAAGAGAGCCTCACTGAGCAGAATAGGATCAGACAGGGTGAGGAAGACCTCGGCGAACTGCTTCGTGTCCACATGATTGATTTAGGCCCTGAAATGGTTTCAGACAGTTTAAATCCACTGGGATGCCACAACAGTTCAGAGATGGTCAACAATGTGGACCAAAAGAATGGAACAGAGAGTCACATTGTTCTAGAGTCTCGTATTGGTCAAGAGTACAAAAAGGAGGAATTGAATGAACTGGATGGTGTTAACAGCACAGAACAGGGCAACAAGCATCAGGTGGCTTATCCTAATGAGCAACGCCCAGCGTTACCACCTGTCCACATTAAAGAGGAGGAGGCTGCTAATTATCCTAACATGCCCTGCACAGGATCTCTGTATGTGAAACAAGAAGTCAGTGGATTGGACCATGTCTGGATCAAAGAGGAAAGTGATGTACAGTCTACAAACAGTGAAGAGAAAACGGCTAAGTTAAATCACTCTCAGCTGGAACTTCACAAACGGAACTTGGAAAAGAAAGGGCCGCAGCAGAACCAGAGTATGGGAAATACTGACATACGGGAGTTTATATGTCTGAGACCTTGCTTAGTAAAAGTGGAGAGATTGTCATTGCAGCACAGACAACAGCACCATGGACCCTCCAGCATTCTAACCCCATTGTCTGTGTTTGAGAACACAGCTGAGTCCAGTGGGGACCCAGGGGATGACAGTCACAGCACAAAATGTCAAGAGACTGTCAATCACTTAGAGAGCTTAAAGGCATACCAAAACCTTCAGACAGAGGAAGGACTCTACTCGTGTTCTCAGTGTGGGAAGAGTTTTAATCAGGTATCCAAGCTTAAAACACACAAAGAAATTCACACAGGCATGTTCAGCTGCAGTCAGTGTGGACAGATGTTCAGTCAGTTAAGTTCCTTAAAATGCCACCTGTGCGGTGACACAGATGAGAGGCCTTTCAGCTGCAGTCAGTGTCTGAGGAGTTTTAGTCAGTCAAGAGATTTGAAAAAGCACGAGCGTGTTCACACGAGAGAGCGATCATTCATTTGTAGTCAATGTGGAAAGAAGTTTAATAAATCAAGTGCGTTAAAGCTTCACCATCGTGTTCATACGGGAGAGAAACCATTCAACTGCAGTCAGTGCGGGAAAAGCTTTAGTCGTTTATTCCACTTAAAATGCCACCAGCAAATCCATACAGGGGAGACTCAGTTTAGTTGTAGCCAATGTGGGAAACGTTTTATCCATTCAAGTGACTTAAAAAAACACCTGCGCACTCATACAGGAGAGAGGCCATTTACCTGCAGTCAGTGTCGGAAGCGTTTTAGTCAGTTAGTCCATTTAAAATGCCACCAGCGTGTTCACACGGGAGAAAAACCATTCAGCTGCATTCAGTGTGGGAAAAGCTTTAGTCAGTTAGGCCACCTAAAATGCCACCAGCGCATTCACACTGGTGAGAGACCGTTCAGCTGCAGTCAGTGTGAAAAGAGTTTTAGTCAGTTAGGTCACTTAAAATGCCACCAGCGCATTCACACAGGAGAGACACAGTTCACTTGCCCTCAGTGTGGGAAATGTTTTAGGCAGCCTTGGGACCTAAAAAACCATCAACGCATTCACACAGGAGAGAGAGGATTCAGCTGTAGTCAGTGTGGGAAGAGTTTTAGTCAGTTAGGAAACTTGAAAGTACACCAACGTATTCACACGGGAGAGAGACCGTTCAGCTGCAGTCAGTGTGGCAAGAGCTTTAGTCAGTTAGGTAACTTAAAAGGTCACCAGCGCACACACACAGGAGAGAGGCCGTTCAGCTGTAGTCAGTGTGGGAAGAGCTTTAGTCAGTCAAGCAACTTAAAGTGCCACCAGCGCATTCACACAGGAGAAAGACCGTTCAGCTGTAGTCAGTGCGGACGCACCTACACACTGTTGCATCATCTTAAAACTCACAAGTGTATTCACAGCTGAGAGACTGTATTGCCATATTCTGAACAGTTTTGAACTGTTTATATAAATGTGAACATCTTGCTTTTCATGTGAAATAAAAAACTTTAATTATCTTGAAAAACATCTGTTCATGTGTGGCTCCTGTGTTCAGTAGTGTTGCCAAAGTCTGAATTTTAACATGTTGCAGTCATATGTTGAACCAGGTTTGACACTGAAACAACACTGAACAAAAACATTTCTAGCCATGTGCTGGATTCAGTTTGACATCACAAAACATTTCAGTTCTCTGTTGAATAATTGCCAGGAAAAATAATAGAAAAAAGAAAGAAAGACTAAAAGATTTTAGACACAACTTTGTAGAAATGGATTAGAAATACTATAAATAGCTTATTCTCAAAATCCTTCTGCAAGGAACTGAATTTAACACTGATGGTGTAGAAGAAAGTTGAGAGGAAATAGAATACGGATCTGCAAAGTTGCAATGGCAACAAATAATTCAGTTTAACAGAGCTCATGGCTGCAACAACAAAAAGACCGAGTACAATCATGTACGAACAATAAAATGTTTCTTACACATAAAGTGTGCCATCTAATGTAGTTTAGACACCAGCATTAACATATAATCAATTAGGCCTTATACTTTTAGACTTTATAGGTTTAAGCTTTTGTGTATTTTCCCAGTTATCATGTTTCTGATAACTGTGTGCTCCAGTCCTTTGTATGAATGGACAAAGCCTAGTGTGTGTGTGTGTGTGTGTGTGTGTGTGTGTGTGTGTGTGTGTGTGTGTTACTTTGTTACAAAAAACACACATGGCTATCACACTAGGTGTATTTAGTCCTTGGGTTCTGATTGGTGGAATTGAATTATATGAGGTTTATAAACCTTTCCATGCCTCAAGCATAGATAATAAGTAAAAGCGTCAGCAGGAAGAAAGACCACAGCAAAATAAAAGGGGCATGACTGCATGCCTGTGGAAAATTCCATGAATACTTCTTCTGTTCATAGGGAAATACAGCAAGGGTCTAATGGTCTTGCGTGAATAATACAAGTGTGCTGGTTTAGTTTTGGAGTTTACGTTTATTCAAGAATTTGCATACTGTATGCTTGTTTTTTTTATTTTGAAAGCTGCCCAAGTAAAATAAAAGTGAGTTTTGGTTTTCATATTTCCTGTTTCCTATGGACAGGTGTTTGCATGATTGGAATATTCTGGAAACAACACTTTGTGCAAGTTATAACAGTAATTGTAACATATCAATAAGCAACTAGCATCCAGGCAAGCAAGATGGGCTGAATAGCAGTCTAATTTATAGTCGTTAATGTGTTCTCATTGCAAGAATCAAGCCACAGTTGTATAAGTAGGAGCTTAATATCTAGGTTCCCCCCTCCAAAATCTACACATATTTACTCTTTTAAATAAATGAGTTGTCAGCATTGGAACAGGGAGAAAATAAAGCGCAAGTTGAAAACTTGACAAGTACCATTTTAATTCAAGATTTAAATACATTGTGGTATTCTGAAAAACGAAAGCGCTGCTCATGAATAAATTGCATTTGCCCACCAACATGGTGTCTGAAGTCCTTTCAGATTGCTGAGCCAATATGTCATGTCTCATTGGTGTCACCCAAGGTCACAGGTCTGCTGCTTGGGGAGAAGCCACTACTGCAATTGTTGGTAGAAACGATCATCACTGTCCTGCTGTAAGAGACCCTCTGAGGATGAACCTGCTATTTATTTCCAGGATGTCACAGACCAAAAGAAGATTTATCAAAACAGGAAAAAACAAGGGATTTTATAAAGGGGTTTTTCCCTGGGGTGAGGGAGAGAAAATCCAGAAACAGGGTTCTTGCAGGATGGAGTCAGATTACCTTTGCTGGACAAGGACTGGCTGGGAGTTTTAAGGTAAATTGCTGAGTCAAGAACAACATGAAAGGCTGAAGGAAATAGTTCTAGATTTCAGAAAGGGGGATAATTTACCAGTTTATGTTGTGCTTTCTAATATCTCTCTGTCAGTGGTTTTCAGGGGGCAGGCACTGAGTGACAGGTGAGGAAAGCTTAAACTGAACCTCACAAAGAAAAACGATGGAACTGGCAGAAGCAAAAATAAATCGCTTCACAGTATGCAAGAAGAACTTGCATTTTTTTACCAAAAACTGTATACATTCTGGGCTTGAGAATGTAAGACATGAATTTAAAAAAATTTAAAGAAATGATAGGTCTATAGACGTTATTGTTAAACACAAAGGTAAGAGCAAGGCTGAGAATATAATAATATGTTATTATAAATACACTTTTAACAGTTTAACAGAAATACAATTTGATGCAGATGGAAGGTTTCACATCGCAAATATTGTGTGCTCCTGTGTTCTTGCAATAGTTCATAAAATTATACAGCTTATTTTTAATAGGAAAGCAAACTGAACAGACAAGATACTTTTTCTAATTGTAAACCTAAAATCATTAAAATATTAACTGATAACACGTGGATGTGGGAACGAGCGAATTTACATAAAAATACAGTTTAGTCTTGAAAATACGATTTTTTAAAGGAGAAAACGTAAAAAACCTACCGTATTAGAGATTTTCGGAATGAAATGTTTCTGCGACGAGACAACCACAACTAACCATAGCAGAAGTTCTTTTTTTTTCCTACAAATTACCACCAGGTGGCGATGGCTACACACAAGTTTAGTCAAGACAAAGCTGAGACTGTCCAGCTCTGTCGAGCACCGATAAGAGGTAACCACTGAGGTTGCTGAGATTTATGCCAGAATCAGTCGTGATTGATTTAGCGGCCCTTAATCTAAATGACAGCAGATTTACTCAACTGTGGTAAGCCTTTGCACAGTTTGTCCAGTAAAATGAGATTTGTGTGCGGGAGGTATGTATGGGAAATTGTTTCTTCATTTATTCTATTCAAGGAAAAATTCGCGTTTGTCCCATTGTTTTAGAATTGTTTTATTGACTTGTAATTGTCCTTAACCCTAATTCTTGATATCCTGCAACTCGGACAGTGAGCGTGTAAGAAATATTCAAATAAAAGCAGTAAAACGTCTTCCCAATATTCACTGTATTGTACAGTATGTGCGATTTGCGTGATCCCAAGTCTTTAATGTTGGGACCCGTAATATGCTGCAAACTGCAGTCAGAAATGCTGCCCGAGTGCAGCGACATCATATCTCTTACAAAGCTCCGTCCGTGAGGTTAACAAAATAACTTTAACGGTTGTTGTCCCGTACTCAATGGTTACAAGCGAACGATTTTTTTTTTCATCTTTGATAAACATTAACAGGTACAACTTGTCAGGCTTATTATGGACAAGGAGGTGTAGCCGAGCACTCTGCATTCAGCCTGATTTCGGCAGTTCATTTTCCATGGAGTTAAAGAAAAAGGACAGATGAGGGGTTTTGGTTTTCAACAAAACTATGGTAAGAAAGCAAAACAACTGCCCACTCTGATTACAAAAGAAAACATTCTGCTCGAGCGTTAAGCAGAAAAATGCAGTATCCTTACTCCTCTATAACGCATATCAGTACTGTGCAATATTATCTTGTTATTTACACTAAGGTAATCCTACCCCAAAACACATTGCATAGCAAAGACAAATATGCATCATATACAGTATTCATAGCACTTAGCATAGATTGGGAACAATGCCTCCATTCTATGGAACTTTTCTTAAGCAACAATAAAGTATACATAGCTATCTGATCAAATATCACGACAGGGCACTATCTTTTGTTCATCGAAAGTCTGTATTTTACATTAATCTTATGGAATTCCCTACTCAAAGTTAAGAACTATGAAAAACTCACAAAGTGTAGCAAATACTTTAAAGAGAGAGTGCAAGGCAAAGTTCTGGTACTGACATTTTCTCAAGTTCAGAATTAAGCATAAATATATACAGTACTTTGAAAATAGTGCTGTTTATGACTGTACATTCTGAGATGTACTTTTCTTTGATGTGGAATTGCGATGTGTTGGGAAAGGATGTACAGTATGTGTTCCATAAGCACATACGTTTACAGTAAAACATGTTGTGTTCTCTGAAACCTGTGTGTCCGATTTACTCACACAATCCTGTAATTAACATCCCTCAGGGATCCCACTGTTCCCTACTCCTTAAAGCCTTTGGACTTTTAACTCTGGACCCAGCCTGAAGAGTGGACACTGATTTAAGCCAACTGCTGTTTGCATTCCTACACACAAATACCTGTCAATGAAGCATGAGGTTACTATAGGAAGTATCTGACATTTCAGACATAGGAAATGTCTAGTTTTCAGCGGCACATTTTTGTAATTGGTTGGTTATTTTTAAAAAATAGATTAACAATTATTTTCACCAAGTAAATCTGTATAACAATTATAAACAGTACTTGTAGAGGACTGACGTATTAGCCTAAGCTACAAACAATCTGTAGACTTTTTAAAATTGTTGTTGAAATGGTTTTCTGTCACTTGGTTTTAGCTTGGTGGTGATTTGTGTGTTTTATCCTTTTTAAAATATTTGTAGCATTTTGCATTTCGTCATCTTGTTTGTTTTAATTAGTGTAGCTCTGTATTATCATATTTTTTAAAATCATAAAATATAATGTAATCTGATGAAAGGAAAAGAAGTCCAAGTTTACCTTGTCTGAAGTGGCAACATTCAGAATACAAGAACTCCAATCTGCATTTTGCTGATTATGAAAAAAAAGTCACTGGTTTGAAAAACCTGTTTTCTGTTAAAAGGATGTTTCAATTACACCACAGGAATATGAGACACTTTTTATTAATAAACCTTTGTACTGAAGAAGAATTTACTATATGAGCCAAATAATAGCGATACTGTACATGACATTGATATTAGATTTGGGTTACATATTTTTGTGTTATTAATGATGGACTGTAGACTAATTAATTTAACAGAAGCCGAGCAACCTAACAGCATATATTTGACTGGGAGGTAACAGGAGCACCCAGAGGAAACCTACACAAACATGAGGAGAACATACAAATTCCACACAAATAGCACCCAGGTTTGAACGCAGAGCCACAGCGCTTCAAGTGCTGCAGAGCTAACCACTGTGCCACCCACATTAAAACCTTAGCCTTGAAATTGAAACTTAGCAATTAGAATGTTTCTTAGTATCAGGGGTTTTGCATGTTAACCAGGTTAAAGAAACAAAATCTTGTGAGTCTAGAGATGATGTACAATGGAAGGTGTTGTGTAAAATAAATGTTATTATTATAGATTGAATAAGAGTGTGAGAAGAATTCATCTGAGCATGTAAAATCATAATGAGGTGTAGATTGTGTCAGCCTAGAAGATTTCTTCAGACTCCATAACAAAACAAGAAGAAAAGAGGTCACAAAGGTAAACCAGAAGGAGTCAATTTAGGATGGAGATCGGGAATCACTTCTTAACACCTCAGTCTTTCTGGGGATGATTTTCCTACCTCAAAATAATTGATCTCCTTTAAATAGTCAACTTTTATTTGTATTTATAAAACTGTGGCTCTTCAATATACTATATACCAGAGCACCATGGCAGTGCGTGTGACTATGTAATAATGACTTCTCTTGGAAGCAGTGATTGATACAAGACATTGATATTAGATTTGGGTTGTGGATTTGTGTCTTATTAGTGATGGACTATAAATGTAGTTTATTTTATTAAATGTAGTTTATTTTA